CTGTAGCGTATGCGCCCAGATGCGTTCTCAGGTACCGAAATTTGGCACCGATTGATTTAACGTGAATCGGTACTCCGTAGTACCGACGCAATTCGGTCGGTACCCTTAAAAGTACCGAGTTCGGTACCCAACCCTTCCAAATAAGGTAAAAACAGACCATTTCATTCTAGGGACAAATCCTAGGGTTGTAAATGAACATGTAAATCCGTTTCTGGTGATTTTTTGCCCTTACCTAAGTCACATACTTTCTATGTAGATATCAGAGAACAGTTTAAAATATTGTATCAATGCATTCTATGGCACCTTTAAATAAACTATATTTAAGACATTTTCTGAAAACAAGCCTTCTTGGAACAGTTCACCCAAAAAATAAATTTTGTTATCATGATCTCACCCTCATGCAGTTCCCAGTACTTTATTTTATTCATAAAACACAGTCCTTAAGCCGCTTTTCCATTCAATTAAAGTGGATGGTGAATACAATTGCCAAGCTCATAAGTATGAAAGTATGAAAAAAGTACCGTAAAAGTGGTCCATATGACTTGTTCCGCTATATCCCAAGTCTTTTGAAGTTATATAGTAGCATTGTTTGAGGAATTGACAAAAAATGTTATATGTAATATGCATATGCATGTGTGTGTGTGTGTATGTACGTTTACTCAAAAAGTACAGCTTGTGTGATGCTTCAACTATCCAGTGAAACTATTAAAAGTTTTCAGGTTTTTAACAGGAGGAAATGAGCCAGAGGGTTGACTTCAAGGCACGCTGCCTTCATTATTTAATCGCTGAATGCATTTTGGACGGCTGTCTAATCTTAACACTGTCTCCAGTTTTTAAGAATTCCCGTCACCTGTCAGCTTGCCATCCGTGGATTCTGATTTAGAGCCAGAAGGACGGAGGCAGTTCAGGCACTCTGCGTAATTCAGAGCTGTCCTTAGATCCGTCACATTAAAAGTGTCCTCGCCAGACTCCGCACAACAGACTGCACCGCACTATCTGTTAAACAAAATGTGGCAGCCAAACTTGCAGCCAGGATGGCGGTACTCCAGGAGGAAGTGCACTATAGGGGGCACATGATTGACGGCTGTTTTGGGGTCAGTGCAACAGATTGTTTTGTATGAACCATGTGATTCACATAGACTCGTGTGTACGTGCACTAACCTGCCAAGTGAGAAGGACACGCAACAATGACAGCTTTACAAGTGACTGTGGCTGCAGAAGTCGTAACTTTTATGTTCTCTGAATTCTGTAAGAGAAAAACATATTAGGATTGATTAAAAACTGAAACCCGATAAAGGCTGGTATTGTGAGGTTGAGGCTAACTGAAGTGGTAAGGACACTTGCAATAGCCTGCTGTGAAGGAAACCATAGTCAACACAATAAGAGAATTGTTACATGAACTTTATTGATCCCTGTGGAGAAATTCATGAACATGGAGAATACAAACCGTACACACACACACAAATCTAGCACTTGGTCAACAGGGAGGCATGTTGGCATTAATATGGCTTCCTGTCATAAAGCTTTCTCAAACAGATTGCACTGCTGACCGGACTAAGATAAAAATTAATACTGGCTGTTACAGTATGTAGGACTCCCAAAGGTGTCACAGATAGAAATATGAGTGCTACCTTTAATAGACAAATATTTGTAATGGAGACCAGCTACTAAATGCAAATCTATGGCAAAACGCCTGGGCATTTCATCACAGGGGACATTCATGAACATTATCCTGGGCTATGTGATGAGGCAGGCACATTATACACGTCTTTACCCTACTGGGCCCCGTATACATTCAGTATTTAGCCTGGGAACTGAAAAACCAAGAGATGGTTCTTCATAATGCATGCAGCTAACAAAGAGCTTTTAGTAATGGATTTGTTTATATAATGTAAAAATATGTATTAATGTTAAGTAAAGTTATTATAAAGTAATACCTACACTACTATTCAAAAGATTTTGGTCAGTAAGATTTTTTTTAAAGAAATTAATACTTTTATTTAAGGACGAATTAAAAAAAAGAAACATATTAAAAGGCTACAGTATGTACAAAATGCTCATCTTGACTAGACATAGTGCTCACATAACTCCCCTTCTCCATGATCTTCACTGGTTACTTGTTGCATCACGTATTCATTTTAAGGTACTCCTGCTAACCTTTAAGGCTTTAAATGTTCTTCCACCTCTATGTCTATCAAACCTACTTCACCCATCAAATAAATGGTTCTTTTGAACTTTCTACTCATCAAAGAATCCTGAAAATTATGTATCATGGTTTCTACAAAAAATATTGAGCAGCACAACTGTTTTCAACATTGACAATAATGTTTCTTGAGTAGCAAATCAGCATATTAAAATGATTTCTGAAGGATCATGTGACACTGAAGGCTGAAGTAATGGATGCTGAAGATAAACTATATTTTAACATGTTTAAATAAAAAAAAACTTATTTTAAATTATAATAATATTTCACAATATTGCCTTTTTAGTGTAATTTTGATCAAATAAATGCAGCCTTGATGAGCATAAGAAACTTCTTTTGAAAACATTAAAGGCAGGGTTTGTGAGTTGCTTCACAAACATTTTTTGAGCATATTAAAATGATTTCTGAAGGATCATGTGACACTGAAGACTGAAGTAATGGATGCTGAAGATAAACTATATTTTAACATGTTTAAATAAAAAAAAACTGTTATTTTAAATTATAATAATATTTCACAATATTGCCTTTTTAGTGTAATTTTGATCAAATAAATGCAGCCTTGATGAGCATAAGAAACTTCTTTTGAAAACATTAAAGGCAGGGTTTGTGAGTTGCTTCACAAACATTTTTTGTTATGCTGGTTGAAAGTCTCTTCACATCCCAATAGCAATCACTAAGTTAAACGGTTAGTTCACCCAAAAATGAAAATTAGCTTGTGTTTTACTTACCCTCGAAGCATCCTAGGTGTAAATGACTTTCTTCTTTCAGACGAATCCAGTCAGAGTTATGTTAAAAGTTGTCTTTGATCTTTCAAGCTGTTTAATGCCACTCAGCGGGTATTGCA